CTCAAGTCTGATTAAGCCTCTAGGCTTAAGTTCAAGGAAATATGAGATAAAATCAATGCATTATATGATCTCATTAGGAAACAGATAAAACTAAATATGATACATTCTACAAAAGAAATGGCCTTCTGAAACAAAACAGCAAAACAGCTAATGAAAACATTTCAGGGACACCTGGGGAAATCTGCATGTGGCTTACATAGTCATGCTACTTAGCAAATATTATTAATTTTTTTAGGTGTGATTATGGTATTGTGTTTATATAGGAGAATGTCCTTATTTTTAAGATGCATAATAAAATTTTTAGGGGTGAAAGTCATGATATCTGTAATTTATTTGCAAATGGTTCAGCAAAAACTACATAGTCACCTATACACACATACTGGTATATGGCAAAATGTTAAAAATTACTATATCTATATGGTTGGTATGCAGAATGTCATTGTATTATTTTTAGTCTCTTCTGTAGATATATTTTCATAATAAAATACTGGAAAAATCGGAGGAGAAAACATATATCCATTAATGATGCTGAGAAAATGGAATGTCCTTATAAAAATTAATTTCCTAATTCACTTTTTGGAAGAAAATAAGAAAAAAGTATACAGTATCTTTAGAAGAAAAGTTACCACTATTTTCTTGGATTAAGGAAGTATTTCTTAAATAAGGCACAGGGAATAATTCATGGGAGAAATACTGGTAAACTTGATTTCACTAAATTAAAGATATATATATGAATAAAAGGTGCCAAATCAAAGTAGAAAGAAAAGTCAGGGAGATTAAATGGTATAACCCAGAAAAAATAACATCTCAGAAATATAAGGAGCTCATGTCTATCAATAAAAAAGATGGGTAGAAAAATGTGCATATGATATTAATAGAAAAATTTACCCTCAGAGAAGAAGCTCAAACATCCCAAAAACATATCCAAAGTTGTGTAAACTTGAAAGTCATCAACTAAAATGTGACATTACTTCACGTACATGGATTAGCAAAACACAAAGACAAAACAAAGACAGTAATGCTTTTAGGGAATGGAAATTCTCATATAATGCTGATGTTCCAGCTACTATAAAGACAATTTTAACCTTAGCCAATAACACGGAAGAGCTGCATATTAAATCATTTAGAAATTCCATTTCTAGAAGATGTCATTCACCTACACAAAGACGTTCACTGCAGTACTGTTTATAATTGCCAATACAGAAATAACCCAAATGTTAAGATAAAAATGGGTAATCTAGATACATTCATAAGGTGAGATACTATGCAGTCAAAACAAATGACCTAGTACTCATATCAGTATGGAAAATCTATGAAATGTAATGTTGAACAATAAAGTCGAGTTGACCAAGGTTACACACTACCAAGGATACACACAGCATTCCTGCAGATTTAAAAATAAAATAAAATAACCAAACAAACAAATTAACCAACCTAGGTTTTGTGATTAAGTATATGGTAGGATCCTTCCAAGGTAACTGCTAATGACCAGCCCCTGATTCCTGGCATTTACCTGCGTCGTCCCTTCCCACATCATATTGGGGTCATTCTGTGCAACCAGCAGAGTGGGGTAGAAGTAAGAACGGGCCGCTTCCCAAGATTAGGTGATGAAAACTGGGGCGTCTGTCCTGGGTGCTCTGACGTGTTCTCTTGGATCACTCGCTCAGCACTGACCAGAGGACATCAGGTAGTCCTGGGGTGAGGTCCAAATCGTGAGGGAAGCGGGACTCCTGCCACCATGAGAGTGAGCTTGGAACCAGTTCCTACAAAGGACTTCAGATAGCTGCAGCCTCATGAGCAATGCTGGGCCAGAGACACCAGGGTAAGACCCACCTCGATTCCTGGCCCTCAGAAACTACACGAGATGGCCAGGCATGGTGGCTCACACCTGTAATCCTAGCACTTTGGGATGCCAAGGTGGGAGGATCAGTTGAGCCCAGGGGTTCAAGACCAGCCTGGGCAACATGGTGAAAACCCATCTCTGCAGAAAATATCACAAATGTTCTGGGCATGGTGGCACATGTTTGTAGTCCCAGGTACTTGGCAGGCTGAGGTGGGAGGATCGCTTGAGCTCAGGAGGTGAAGGCTACACTGAGCCAAGATCATGCCACTGCACTCCAGCCTGGGTAACAAGGCGAGACCCTGTCTCTTAACAAAACAAAATAAAACAAAAACCAGGCTGGGTGTGATGGCATATCCTTGTAATCCTAGCACTTTGAGAGGCCACAGGGGGTTGAGCACTTGAGCCAGGGAGTTGGAGACCAGCCTAGGCAACACGGCAAAACTCCCTCTACGCAAAATATCAAACAATTATCTGGGGCAGTCTTGCACACCTGTAGTCCCAGCTACTCAGGAGGTTGAGGTTGGAGGATCATCTAAACCAGGATCGTCTGAAGTGAGCCCTGATCATGCCACTGTACTCTACTCTAGCCTGAGTGACAGAGCAAGACCCTGTCTCAATCAATCAATCAATCGAAAGAAAGGAAGAAGGAAGAAAAAGAAACAAACAAACTGCAGAAGGTGATAGAGAGTTGTGACATTTGGGGGCAAGTTGTTACATAACAACAGATAATTACTAGAAGGTGCTCACACCCATCTAGTAAAATTATAAATGTATAGCAATTTAGATAGGAATATACACTAATTTCAGGATAATGAGTAATGCTGGGGAAGGCGGTGGATGGGGTGGGACTTTAGTTACACTTGTTTTCTCATTTCAATGACAATTTTTTAAAGAAAATATGACAAAATGTTAAATCTAGATATTCCGTCAATGCGCACACAGTATATGATTTTCTGTAACTTAAAGGTATTTTTTTGTTAAACATTTTATAATGAAAAAATAAACACACACACACACACACACACACACACACACACACACCACATATATATTTTAAAGGCAGCATAGCTATTCCATTTATAAGGGTTCTATCAAGCACTGTCTGGGCCTTTAATTGCAGCCCTGAGGAAAGTAATTACTTTAATGGCTAAACAATCCACAAGGAAGAGGAGACACAGGTCAGCATATTTTCCCCCAGCTGGTAAATCAAACGTTTAAGTACCAAAACCTTAAATAAATTTTTTAAAAAGGAACAACAACAAAAAAATGTATAGAAGAGCACCTAGCAAATAATTCACAGTGAAATTCGGGGACAAAAAGTTGCCCTGTCTAGGGATGCCTAATATTACACCATTTCCAACAGTAATTCACTTAAAAACAAATGGTTATTAGACTCTACTGTATTCAGTGGACTCTAACAGCTGTTCCCATAATGGCCTCTACTTTAATGACATTTAACAAGAGAACGGAAACTGTGGGCAAAATTGCTTAAGTTCTTAGATTCCCCTGGTTAAAAAGAAGTCAAATAGTCACAGTTAGGAAATTCAGTGATATTTCAGTCCCACTTCCTGCTACAAAGTTCTCACACAACGATAACTGAATAGGCTGAAAGAGTTATTGCACACGCACAAGGTAAACATTTACTCATGGCAAAGACGGAAACATGACAATGCAAGGGTTCCATGTCTGCTCACAAGAACAAAGCAAAAATACTTCTGCACAGATATTCACGCAGACACGTCACGATGTATCATATACGTGCACTGGGTTGAATGATTTTATTTATATGGGATATGAATTGGCCTAACAGTCCAGATGCAATCTTTCCTTTTAACGTTTCTGCTCTCTAAATTGTTACTTTACTTTTCTGACATGCCACTCTGCTAAGGCAGCTAATGAAGCACCCCTCATCTGCTTTACTTACCAGGAGTCCGGTTTTAAGACCATGTTTTAGGTATTAAAAAATAGTAGCTGAAATCTCTCCCTCCTGGAATAATCCAGCTGTGATTACCTGGCATTCTGCCCAGACACCTCATCCTGGCAGCTCTTCATCTGGGTTCAGATCAGAGTGAAGGTCTGAGCTGAGGCTCCTAGGATGGCGGGCCCAGGACTCTCACCTGCCCTCCAACAGTGTCTCACATCCATCAAATTCCTACACATCCCCTTTCCTTCAGCCACATGATGACCTTATATTTCACTATCAACTCCCAAATTTCCTTCTATTTCACCTCCTTGTCATCAATTTTTTTTTGACCTCACACTTAATTTTTCTCTCCTTTCACATATCACCAGCACGACTTTGGGATTTCATTCTGTTCCTGACTTCAAATCGAATGCACCAATTTTGTTTTCAGTCCCTTGACATCTTATTTTGAAAGGCTACAGCTCTCCTGGCCATTTCTCTGATTCAGGCTCTTCTTCCACTTGTCTCTGGCAATTCAATCTCATGCCCACTTCTGTGATTTGCCTCTGCCTTGCAGGCTGGACTCTCAGACCTAATCCTCCTATTAAACCATGTGCTGTGTAAGCACTCCATTTCAAGCAAACTGTGAAATCTGAAGACATTTCCAAGCTTATGGGGTTTAACCAACCTCTTGACTTTCTTGTGCTCTCCTGGATTCTCTGAAGACCTGCCAACCCTTCAGCTAGACTGCAGAGTCATGCTGCGGGCCGCCCTCACGTCTTTCAAAGGAACCCCATGAGAAACAGGCGCTCCTTGGTCTTATTATGTTAGGATTTCAAGAAATGGCAATAATAGGCATTCCCTATTTCAAAATGAGGACAGCTTTAAGGAAAAATAAATGTACACAGCTTAAATATGAAACTTCTTCCTTACTCATTGCTTTAACTGTCAAAAAACTGTAATGCAACTCCAAGGCTCCACAGCATATTTTTACTCCTTGACTATCAGGACTAACACTCAGAAAGCATTTTACAAGTGCCAAGCCCTGGACTTGAAGTTTTACATGGATGATGTCATTTAATTATCTCAGCCACCCCATGACCCATTTTACTGAGGAGATTTTGATCCCTGGTGATAGGAAGGAGGGAAACAATTCAATGGTAATTGATGTGCCATCAAGAATGGCTTCCAAGTCAGCACATTTACATAAGGGACTCTTGTCGGGGATCCCCATTCAATGTTAGAATTGCTCACCTGCACAGGGGCTCGCTGCAAAGCCCACCCTCTTCCGGGCTCTGTCGAAGACGACGTAGAAGCCCTCCATCACTGTGGCTCCGATCACCAGTGCGTTTGTGGAAGGGGAGATGCCGAATCGGTAACATTCATAATTCAGGCCGGCCCCCATCATGGGCTGAATGTAAAGCTGTTTGTCAGAGAGGAGAGAGCAAACAAACAAGAAAAAGTACAAATCAGGCAACATCACAAAGCTGCTGAGGTCACACGCATGCTCGGGACCCTCCCAGGTGCTGGGGGAGTTGCAGGGAAAGAAAGATGATCTCATCCCTGCCCTCCAGAAGGAGAGAAGATCAAAAGTATGGTGATCAGTATTATTGATCAGGACAGAGCAGATGATCCGTATCCACCACCTGGAGTTACTGGCAGGTACATCCACCCAGATGTCCAACCAGCTGTCTGCAGACAAGAGTCAAACTCTATAATTTTGAAGGGATTTATTCTGAGCCAAATATGAATGATCATGGCGCATGAAACAGCCCTCAGGAGGTCCTGAGAACATGTGCCTGAGGTGGTTAGGGCGCAGCCTGGTTTTATGCAATTTTGGGAAACATCAGACATCAATCAAATACTTTTAAGATATACATTGGTTTGGTTCAGAAAGGCAGGACAAGTCAAAGTGGGGCTTCCAGGCTAGAGGTAAATTTTAAAATGTTCTGGTTTATAATTAGTTAAGTTTATCTAACCTGGGATTAATAGAAAGAAAATGTTTGGATTAAGAGAAAGGATTGTGAATATCAAAGTTTTATTGCGCAGAGGAAGCTTTTAGCTCGTAGGCATGAAGAGAAGAGGTTGTGAAATGTTTCTTACGGGGCATAAAAGGGTCCCTGACTCTTAGTTAATTATCAAGAATAAAAAATAGGGAAAAAGGAGTTTTTTACAGAAAGTAGATTTTTTTTTTCTCACAAGAGACAACTCTGCAGGGCAATTTCAAGATATGAAAAGGAAGTATATTTGGGGTTAAAATATTTTAATTTCTTTCCGTATTTGTTATGTGATATTATGCCAGGGCCAGGCTGGAAAGCAGGGCATGCAACACAGGGTTAAATAAAACCCCTCTGGTGAGATTTTATGGTTTGTAGGGCAGACTCTCCAGGCCTCTTAGGTAGGAATTTAGTCAAGAGAATAAAAAAAAAAGAGTTTAGTCCTCACCTCCGTCTGGCCATCTGCCCAGCAGTTACCCGCTGAGGACTTCACAGGGCTCCAAAGCTGCCCTCTGTACCAGGACTACAATGATGAATGCCACACAGTCCCTGTTCCCTCAAGGCTCCCAATCTAGGGGGAACCAGGCAGTGACCACAGGGTGGGAAGTGCCCACACAGACCCCTCGTATGGGTACTGGTGCCCACTTATCACTCCCTCTGCATGGAAGCTTTCTTCACTTGGGCTCTAAGAGGGCCATGCTCTTCTTTCTAACTCCCAGGCCACTCCTTCTCAGGCACCTGTATTGGATTTCCTTCACCTTCCTTGCCTGTAAGCATCAGAGCACTCTTAGACTCTGGCCTCCTCTCAATCTTCCCTCCTTGGGTGACCCATCTGGCCCCACCCCATGGCCCTAGATCACCCCGTGGTCTCACCTGAGACTCCTACCTCCTCCTGTCCAGCCCAGACCTGGGCCACCATTGCCACACAATGTCCACCAGCCTGTCCACCTCTGTCAGCCTCTCCCGTGTAACCGGTAACAGCCTGAATGCTGGCTATTCCCCCCTAAATCAGCCTTCTCCCACCGTTCTCTGTCTCAGTAGATTCACGGTTCACCCAGTTACTGAGGCCCTGAAGCTCCGAGCCAGTCCTTTTCTCTCTTACCCTGCATGGAGATGGTAACCAGACCCCTGCGAGCCTTCCCGTGAAACTGAAGCAGAATTGAATCCCTCCCTCGCCCCACCCAGGCCAAGTCCTCACTGTCCTCGTCCCTCGGGATCCACTGTAATGGCTCCTAGTTGTCCTAGAGCCCATCATGCACCTCCCTCTCGGACAGAGAGAATTTTAAAAGTAGGCAGTCTGAGGGAGGCAGGACAATTTCCTCAGTGAAAAGAGGAAGACAGCATCAGTGGATCAGAAGTTCTCCCCTGGGAGAGGGTCGGTTCCCACAGGTGCTGCGCAGTGTTAACCGAACTCAAGTCGGCCCTTGAGATCCCTGGAGCCAACAATATGCAGGGAAATGGGTCAAACCTTAACACAATCAGTGAGCAAATCATGATCCTATCAGCAGTAACAATTTCTTGGCTTTTGAATAGCAAACAATTGAAATGCTGGCAATTAGAGAATACTGCGGCTGAGTATGACAAAATACCACCTGTTTGGAGAAAAGCGACACTGCAAAATGGTAAGAAAACGAACCTTCCTGTGAGTAATGGTCCGCCTCAAAGAGCAGAGGCAGGAAGAACGACTCGGAGGAAGAAGGTGGACACACTAATACACAGAGCCCTGGGCCTTCTGGCTGTAGAGGGTCTGAGGGATGGCAAGGGGGTAATTTCGGAGGGAGCAGAAAAGACTGAGAGGACACCAGCAGGGAGGGGCTGCCACGTGACCACTCGGAAGAGCAGGCCAAGGAGGGACAATGCAGAAGCTGGGAAGAAACCTTGGAGCTCCCCTGTGGGCAGGCAGCTGCCGATTTTCAATAGGTCACGTAGGATTCAGCCCACGGGCTTTTGGAAAACAGTGCTGGGTGTAGGCAAAGTTTAAAGTAATTGCTTTTGACTTGACTCTTTTCTGCAGGAGTGATTGTTTGCCAACCTATTAGCATTCATGTCTGAGAGGTCCCAGGTGGGGGCAAGGACTCCTGGCGGTTTCCCTCGGTGCTAGAAAGGCTGCTGGGCAGGGCCTTTCTGCTGGGAACGTGGAGCGTGTGGGGTCTCACTGGGTGATCTTTCCCAGCTTCCTACTGGAGTCCCCTCCCAGCAAGGGAATGGAAAGCAAGTGGAATGTGACACTGGGTAAGAAATCAGGAAAACAACAGGTAAATTGGATTTTTAAAAATCAAAAATGTGAACATGTCAGAGTCAACCAAAAAATATCTAGCATTGTAAGTGAAAGCAATAATGAATTCATATGCAGAGATGTGCAAACGACATGAAATGTTCCCAAACCTCTCTCATTCTGCTTCTGAGCTTGCCCAGTGCTGGGTCCTAAAAGCTACTGAGGAGCCCAAGCAAGTCTTCATGGCTCTAACCTGCCTGGACTAAGAGGTTCCCCCAAATGCCTGCCTTCTCCTCCTGCTTCTTATGAGTCCTTCGTGCTTGACATTTATTCAGCAGTGCGCCCCTGCACCCTCAAGCTGGGTTCTGACATTATTACACACCACGCTGATGAAATAATGTCCACATTCTACTGTTCTACTGGCCAAAATGTAATCAGCAAGAGCACACGATTTTAAAGATGCTGAAAACACAGCATTGTAACATCACTCAGGGCAGTGCCATTCATCCAGGGATACTGCATTCTTCTGAAAATGTCTTTGGTAGGTATTATTGTTTCTTCTTTATAGTTAAAGAGACACAGACAGCGCTAAATACTTTGCTCAAAGTCACAACGTGAGGGAAGCGCAGTGCTGAGCGTGTAACACAAGCCTCTCGTGAGAGCGGGTGTCTCCTGTTGGCCTGAATTTCTCCTGAAGCTTTCAATCCTTTCCCCCAGGTCTCTCCTTTTCTGGGACACACATCCCCACAATGTAAGGCTGAAAATGAGGAAGAGGCAGCAGTAGCATTTTCTAGTTCTCTTCTGATATTACTCCTCCTTCCTTGTCCAATCCCCTTTATCCCAAATTCATCAAATTACAACAAAGACCCACTGATGGGTCCATTCCACAAACAGTTACAATGTACTTTCCCTCCACTGCCTGGTGGCGTTGGGGAGGGAAGGATGATCTTTTACACTCACAGCTCTCACCTTCGAGGAATTTATAATTAATAGAAAATGAAATAGAAGAAAATAGAAGTCAAATGAAAAAGGCAACAGCATACAACGTACCCTAAAGATATGATTCCGTGCCAGATGAGCAGAACAGAAAATATGCGTGCTGAGTGGGAGGTGCAACCTCACAAATGGGTTATTCTGCTCATCATAGTTTCAACAAAAGCTGGGTTGTTTGAGTTGAGTCTTAAAGGATGGGAAGAATCTGGATGTACGGGCGGAGTAAGGGGGGTGGTATTTCAGGCAGAGGGTTTGGCGGAACAAGGGGTGGGGGGCAGTTGCAGGCGAGAGGCCCTGAGGGTCAGTGGCCACGCAGCAGAGGGTCGGGGTGCAGTGGAATGCTGAGGAACTGGAAGGGGGGGGTCTGGTGGGAGTCCATGGACAGCTATGCCAGAAGCGCTGGGCATTTACATCGTGGGGATGGACTGCTTGCTCACAGCAGGGGAGGCTCGAGTGAAGGCGGTGGTCTAGGAAGAGCAATCTGACAACAGTTTCAAAAAGAAGAGAGTGTGGGGGCTTGGGGGCATGGCAGCGCTCTGCAGGTGACAGAAGTGCTGGTGAGAGCCACAGGGCGAGGGCTCAGGAACGGAGGGGAGCAGGAAGCGGTGAGAAATGGGACTGAGGAAGACAGACATGGTCCATTTCATTAGACATACAGGATAAAGAGGGAGTCAGTGGGTACTGGGAGTATGGGGAGAAAAAAAACAACGATCTCTTCAAATTGGACAATCCAGTATTTTTTGTTTGTTTTTTTGAGACGAAGTCTCACTCTGTCACCCAGGCTGGAGTGCAGTGGTGCGATCTCGGCTCACCGCCACCTCCACCTACCAGGTTCAAGCCATTCTCCTGCCTCAGCCTCCCAAATAGCTGGGATTATAGGCATACGCCATCACATCCAGCTCATTTTTGTATTTTTAGTAGAGATGGGGTTTCAACATGTTGGCCAGGCTGGTCTCAAACTTCTGACCTCCGGTGATCTACCCGCCCTGGCCTCCCAAAGTGCTGGGATTACAGGTATGAGCCACCGCGCCCGGCCCAGTTTTATCCTTTATACCTAGTATGATGGTGATGTGGTAGCTGTGACAGAAGTGTCTCCAGGTCTCTTCCCTTTCCCTTGTAGCCACACCCTTGCCAACGTGGCTCTGTGGCTCCTCCCAGCGTGACGGGCGTCTATTCCCCCATCCCTGGAATCTGGGCTGGCCTTGGGCTTGTGTGGGCAGCAGCACACACCCCGGAAGAGGCAGGGGCCAGTTCTGGGCTGACACTGGGGGAGCCCCTGCATGTCAGGTCCTTTCTCTCTCTCAGGTCCCTGTTACTATGTGTGACTCAGCCGCCGGATGGAGAGAGATGCATGGCTCCATTCCTCCACCACCTTGCCACCAGATATGTAAGTGAGGCCGTCCTACACCAGCCTGGGTGGAGGCCAACCAGGGTCTGGCCAACCACCAGCTGAGCAGACACGTGAGTGAGCCCGGCTGAGGGCCGCTGCCCTGCCTGGACTCAGGGGCGGTAATAAGTGCGACTCTCTTTTGCAGCATCATGGTGGTGACGATAGCCAATGCAGGTGTGACATATCATACACGTGTCATGCATGGAACGCTTTCACTTTTGCTCGCTAAAAAGAGCAAAGCACAAATCCAAGTTCATACCTGAGGCAGGATCGTGATACGGAATGACCTGCTGGAGTTCTCGTCTCTCAAGTAGATGGAGATTTTAGGGAAGTAAGACCAAGGTGTTTCCGAATTCGTCCAGCAAGCCAGCTGGGACCCAGTCCAGAAACCATCAGAGAATTCTGGAATCTAGACAAAACAAGATCACATGAGAAACCACGACTAGTCTGGCACGTCAACAGGAAATAGCTCCGGGCTCTCCTAGCCACCTCGCCAGATGCCCACAGGGATAAACAATGTTTAATTTGGACAGAACAGCAGGGACATTAGTCCCCTGGAAGAGTGACAGTGATGACAAAATAATAATGATTGAAATTGTCAAGACACAGGAGTACCTACTAGTATTAGGCACCCTTAGAAGCCCTTTGCAGCAATAATTACTTCAATTCTCAGCCAGTGTAATGCATTATCCTCGCTGCTTTACAGATGAGGCAAGCAAAGCACAAGGAGGTGAAGTAACTTGCCCAAGGTCACACAGCAGAGCACAGAGGCCTTTTAGAAGGGAGAAGTCCTAATTTTGGCCTTCAAGGCCCTTCTGCTTATCACCTGTCCTCTGAATTCCATGAGCCCAACAAGTTGCCTCCTGGTGCAGAGCCTGGGCTCTCTGCAGTTTTGGGACATTTTTCTCCTCCTCCAGATCTCAGCTCAGATGCCACCTCCTCCAGGAAGCCCTCACTGGCTTCCCCTTGTAACACTAGAACACCACCGTGCCCCTCTCTTTCCTGGCCTTTCTCCTTGTGGCAGTTCACAATTCACACTGATTGGTGTGATACAGTTGTCTCTCCTGCACTAGAGTTCATGTCTTCTCAGGATAGAGGTCTGTGGCCTGGCCTCCTTGCCAGGGCGTGCAGCTGGGGAGAACGCACCCTGCGGTTGGTTCATCCATCCAGTGTTCTCCATGCAGACCATCTGTGATTGATTTGTGAAGTTTCTAATGCTGGCATTGATAGACCTTGACTTTGTAAAAACATCGAAGTTGACTGGAGATGTCCGTCACAGGGAAAGCCCCTTCTCAGACAAGCTCATAGGAGGCACGACGGTCATTTTGCCGGATTTGGTGAAGAGCTTTGGTGGCCAGGCCGGCAGTGGGGCACAGAGCTCAGACGACAGTGCCATGTCCAGCTCCAATGGCAGGTGACAATGAGACTCTGAGGAGCCGAGTAACTGGCCTGGGTAGCTTGCCTCAGATTTGGATGTGGGATTTATTGTCCCCAGAGCCATGGTCTGGCAGCCTCCCAGGGGGTGAAGCCATGTGTCCCTGGCCAGTTTCGACCCTCAGATCACAGAGTTTTAAAGTTAGAAATCATCTTAAAGTGGGTGTCATTTTGCATCTGGATTTCCTCCTGGAGAAGCGCTAGGACTGATCCACATGGGTGCCGTGGCAGGGTCGAATGAGCCCAGGTCCCCGTGCCTCTGCGTGAGCTGCACCTCGAACAATACTCCCCTCCAGGTTCACTTGTAAACACAGAACTCCAAGCCCTTACTGTCTAGAATCCCATCTGAACAACAGCCCAGCATTTGTATTGTCTTTAGCTCTTGGAAGCCAGCCCTCTCCTTAACCAGAGGAAACCCTAGCCAACGACATCGGCTTACTGGGACCTGGTAGATAAGAAAAGCAAACACAACCTTGGTCCAGAGACAGTAAGACAGAGACACAATGCGCCCTTGTAATGCTTTCCCTGCCCGAGACAAGCAGGCTCCCCGGCTTTCTCCTCCTGACGCAGGCACTGGACGAAATCAGAGGATCATTTTAGACAAGGCAAACAAATGTTGTGATCTCATTCTTTCTACCTTGTGGTTTCCTTGCAAAGTCAGGCAGGGCTCAGCGCAGGCCACGATGAACACGGGAATGCCAGCCCCGCGCAACCCTGCCGTCCTGCGTCTCACAGCACAGGGGCCCGGCCAGTCCACAGCTTGCTGGATTTTCTCTTTTTTTTTTTTTTTTTCCAAAGATGGGGTTTCACCATGATGGCCAGGCTGGTTTTGAACTCCTGACCTCAGGTGATCCACCTACCTCGGCCTCCCAAAGTGCTAGGATTACAGGCGTGAGCTTGCTGGATTTTCACACTGTGCTTCAAACATGTCTTTGGGATGCTGGTCAGACTTTTCCATTCAGGATATTAAGTTGGAAGATACATTAACCCTGCTGAGGGCATTTTTACTATTTAACAAATGAGGATATCACTCCCTATTTTAAGTATGGTCTGATTTTCAGCACGCGTTCTAAATTTAAGGCACTAAAAACGTTACCTGACACTTTCTCTGATTCAGTAGATAGTGGGAAAGATGGAGGCTCACTGCGGCGTCAGTGGCAGCTGCGCCAGGCAGCTGGCTGTCTTGAGTCCCGCTGCTTCAAAAAGGGCCCACAACCTTTCCTGCTTATTTCCTTCTGTGTCTGTTTCATCCGCGTGCTGCTCTTCCCGCAGCAGTGACAGGTGCTTGAAGTTCGGGTTCAGGACAACCCAAAGCCGTCTCCTGCCTGTCATGTTTCTGCTATGAGCGGTATCCACTGCATGAGCTCCTATCGGCCATCACAGCACAGGAGTAGGACAATCAGCCCCACGCCGGGGCCACAGCACAGGCTGCGTGCAGGAAACCCCCTCTGACGATCTCACAAGGATGAGTGGGCAGATGCTATGAGAACATGCAGGAAGCCAAAAGTAACGTTCATCTCGCATCTATACAAATAGCAGCAGTGCTGTGGCTGGACATTAAATGGAAGCTCCGAGTGTCTACTAAACACCAAGCGTTTGACCCCGACCTCACAACCACCCCTCAGTTGAGAGTACGGAGGCTCCCCGGGGGCACAAAACCACTCCTCAGGCATCTGGCTAAAAGTGACAAAAGCTAGAATAAATTTAATTATATTTCATCCCCAAAGCTGTGCTGTAGCCAACGTTTATTGCCCTGAACTGACTGGAAAGTCACGGGTCATGCCAGGAATATCATCAGCCAGGTCACATAAAGATATGTTGGCTACAATCATAATTTCAACTGTATTTCAGAGCACGGCCATAAAGTAATTATTGGACTGGCTGATGGACCTTTATCTTCTGTGAAAAAATGATACTCTTTTACAGAAACAGAAGTTAAGATACCAGTGCAGGGATGAAGGCCAAAAAGGAGTAAAATTTTTGGTTCATGTGTTTTGTTTTAAAGTCTATAAATATATTCTTGATTTATTGTTTATTCTAATATAGTTATATTACCAAGTGTTATTTTTCACAGATTAAAAAAAATACTACACCAACTGAACTATTATGTGAAATACTAGAGGGCACTGTACATTCAGATCCAAGTCCTCTGAGGTTCGTGAAGGTACCATTTGCTAACATCAAAGAGGATTGTGAAATTAACAAGTAACAGCTGAAACAAAATCCTTCAGAATACAGATTTGAAATACATATAAAATATATCTACATATTGCACCTATATTCCATATAAAATGTACAAATACAACATATGAAAATTTGAAATGCATGGCGCAATAGTTCAGAGATGCTCAGAACACACAGTGCTGCTCCTCAGCAGGTGATCGTAACCCCGAGACTCGGGGACCCGCAAGTGTCCCGGGGACTCACCAGAGATGCGCGGGCCACAGCCTCCACCACTGCATTGAACACCTTCTGGGGCAGGCGCAGCAGCGTGGTGCCACTGTCCACGATGGCTTTGTCGGCGTTATACTAGCACGAGAGAGAAAGGGGAAGGCATGTGAGTGACAGTGGCACTCCCCACCCTACGTGGCTCCAGTGGCCATCACTATCTGTCTGTTACACACAAATCCAAGCAGCCATGCACTCATCAAGGACTGTAGTTTATTCATGTTCTCAGAACTGGGGAATGAGGGGTCTTCCAGCCCAACACGCTCACTTCAGAGACAAGGAAATGGGCCCAGGAAAGGGAGGGGACATGACCCAAGTTAGCAAATCAATAGCTCTCCCAAGGCACAGCTCCTTCCTTACTCAGAGCTGCCCAAGTTTCTTCGTTGAGGACCCCCATTCCTGCCCCAGGGCAGAGGGAAGACCTATTTGTTTTTTGAGTCTGAAATATACTAAAAGCCACCTGCACAAACTGTACACAGATCAACTCTCTATGACCTCACTAATGAAGAGAAGAAGGAGGGACAATTTTTCAAGAGACATCCCATATTTGAATTGGGAACAGAACCAGAGCCACACTGATTCACAGACTGAGACACACACAGGCGCTGCCAGCCCCGTCCCAACCTGCAACGTTCTTTATGTGGCAGACGGAGAAGGATGAGGCCAGTGGCCAACACCAGACAAGCCACCCCAACCACTGTGGGCACAGCTGCATGGGCAAGGCTGCCCATGGATGGAAAGAGTCCTGGGCAACTAGATCCGCCTGCCTTAAGGCAAATCCATGAGTCTCATGAGGAAGTCTCATCCGAGGAAGTCAAAAGGGAGGAGGAGTCAAGAATCTTTTTAAAATGAAATATACCAATTTATTAGTATTTTTCACAAACACTATTTTCAGTGTAAAAACAAAATTTAAAATATACCTTAGCTTATTCATAAAATTTTTTTAATATGTGAGGAAAGTAGACATGTAAAAGGCCTGTAGCAAATTGAAATGTGCGCTAAGATGTCCTGGATTTTGTTGTTTGTTCTTTTGTGGGGTGGGTGCATATGGGGCGGCCAGGAAAGAACCTAGAATCTAAGAATCACACCTCCAAATATAGGCTTTTCCTCACTAATACACACACACACACACACACACACACACACACACACACACACACACACACACAAAGTTTTGTATTTTGTTTTACATTTGGACATTTGATTCTACCACTGGGTTCTTAATTGACCAATAAGTGCCTCTTGACAATAAACACAGGTTTGCAATGGAAGAGGCTGTCATTTTTATCATTCCTTAGTTTCTCAGAGGTACCTGCGTACATGAGAATTGACAGTGGGATATGATGGGTAATAGGAACGGAAGTGCTAACAGGTTAGAATATGATGGGATCCCCGTGGTTTTTATAAAGCATTCTAAAAGGGCTGTAGAAGACTGAGGCTCCCACAAGTCATCATAATCATAATGTTGTCACGTGTCATGAACAAGCCAAATCACAGTGAGAGGGCGTGAACATGGGTCCTAAGAGGCTCGGTGTCAGAGCTCTGCATGTGGCCACTTTAGCATCACCGAGCCACACACATCTTTACAGCATGACTGCTCTTCAGGGAGAATTGTGTACTCTGGGGGCAGGCTAGCTGTGAATGGAGGAGAAAAAGCTGATGATCTTTTTTGATTTCATATGTCCTACACTGATTAAAAATCTGCTTATTTCAACCTTTTAAACTGAGCTCAGGGACCATCAGTCCAAGATGAATGACTGGTGAAAGGTGTAGCTCAGAGAGTCCTCTTCACTCACCATTTAACGCTAATTTTGCCCTATAAAGATGAGTGGTTAGGAGGATGCAATATTTGGGAGGGAAAACAATTCATTGATTAAAACTCACTGTACAGCAAGGACCTGAATCTTTTGATGTAATGTACCTTCTCCCGTCATATACAGGTTGCAGCTGTCTATTAAATGATCCAGGCATACACAGAAAGACACAACAGAGACTATAGCATGAATACCTCTCTGCAGTCCAGATTAAGGCTTTGGCCTCCAATTTCCAATTTCAGAATTTCTATCTGGTAGTACCACTCCTCCTTAATAGGGGTATACCAGATGTCTCCTTTATACAAACTTGGCTCAATTCCACCCAGGACCTGGGACAGAAAATATTTACAGGTATAAGAGAAAAAATACACAGACGTGTCAACGGGTTATACAGAGAAGCACACACTTGTAAAGTGAAACTTCACTGCATCAGAGCTTCTACTTTGTGGTGATGTCATGAAACAAATATAAATGCTTAAAAAATAAACAAGGAGCCAGGTGTGGTGACTCACGCCGGTAATCCCAAACTTTGGGAGGCTGAAATGGGCGGATCATGAAGTCAGGAGTTCACAAACACCCTGGCTAGCATAGCGAAACCCCATCTCTACTAAAAATACAAAAGTTAGCCAGGCATGGTGGTGCGTGCCTGTAGTCCCAGCTATGCAGGAGGCTGAGACAGGAGAATCACTTGAACCCAGGAGGCAGAGGTTGCAGTGAGTCGAGGTCACACCACTGTACTCCAGCCTTGGTGACAGAGCAAGACTCCATCCCAAAAAATAAAATAGAATAAAATAAAATAAACAAGGAATGTTATGGGCTCATGTCTGCAAAGGTCAGATGATATTATGCCCTAGTCTAAACAAGATGCTTTAGTGATTTCTCTTATCCAAAGAAAGTACATACATGTTCAGCTTTACAATAGTGACATTTTCCTTCAAAGAAATGCAATAAAACAGTTAACCACACTGACTGACAATTATTTAATTCCTCAGAGGTCAGAGAACAGAAAAACAAGAGCTTCCCTGATCAAAGCTTCATTTTGCAAAATTGTAAAACATTTCCTCACACGCCCTAGCTACCCTCTTCCCAGAAATGGCAACAAATGAAAATAGCTGAGGATCAGGGCAGAGCCCGCCTCTCACGGTCAGACAGCAAAGGGGCTGGTACCCCCTTCTAGTGCATTCTTCCTGTCCCCTACGGCTTTCGACGTCTGGGGGCAGGGCCCTGGAGGGAATCTCAGGCTCCAGCATTTCCGTAGTGCTGACGGCCTTGGTTCTGTTTCAATAGCAAACGCTTTTGCTGTGGTGCGTGTGTGTGTTGAGAGGGAGTGAGAAAGGGTCTACAAGGCCTTCTATTTCCGTGCCAGCTTTATGAACTCTCCTTTGTCCCCCTACCCACAGTCGGGCCCACTCACCACATCCCAACCCCCACTGATTCTCACTTGCTCTTCCCCCACCCACAGAAAGCAGTGCCCTTCCAAGGGCAGTAAAGAAAAGCTTTAATGGAATTTGGAGAACGATGAGAATCATCCTTCCAGATGGCAGGGTGACATCAAGGATTGCCTAATTTTAGCCATTTTTAAAAAGATTTACAAAAAGGATGATTAAAGTTTTACAGTACCTACGCACACCTACGTGCCCAATATTTATATTTCTGCTCAGGTGTTTAATAAAACAGAAAAAAAACAGCCCATCAATCTGTGATTTTTCGCCCCTTTAAGACTAAAAGATACCCACAAGACTACCTCCGTTGGTCCCAGATCCAGCAACGGGCAAGCCGGCTCCACACATCTGCATGGAGAAAACATTGGGGATGTTTGCTTGTGTCACCAGGGAGTCAAAGAAGGTCTCCAGAGAACTTGATGGCTGCGGGAGGGTGACAAAGAAGGACACCTGCTTAGAACATACATCATGGACACAGGTGACCCAGTGTAGACGCCATGCACCACAGACAACATTCCTGGTGTTTACATTTAATTTTTTCATGATTCCACAATAAACCAGCTTGTGATCAGGTCTAGGAATTCAGAAAGCCCCAACAGAGCTTCCCACTGGTTGGTGTTTTTCCTTCGGGTACGGCTCTGTTGTACAAATAAGATCGTATTTCTGGAAAGCATTCGACGCAGTCACATCTATCATCATGACTGCCTTGTGAGGGGGCGTGAGAAGCCGTGAAAGTGGGTTACCGTGGCAGGTGGTGGATCCTAATCTTAGACACTTCAGAGTAAGGAGAGAAGAGTTTCTCTAGGAGCTGCCATGGCCGCAGACATTTGTGTTCTCCTGTTAGCTGCAGCTGTCCACCAAACGAGAGATGACCGACTCGGGAGAACAGTATCCCCCGGACCCCAGAGCCTGGGGCGAGGCTTAGCTCTGCCTGATGAACTCTGGTGGGAAGGCATCAGGAAAGGCACAAAAATATAGTCTGGAAGCATGAAAGGCCTCTTATCCCCAGAGGCCAGATTTCAGAAGCCCTCACGTGCTCTGTGTCTCTCTCACGTCCAGCAAGACATGCCGAGAATGTCCTCATTCCTCCAGAGACACTCAAAGGGAAGAGGGAAGGTCTGCGAACAGCTGTGAGGTGGGGGTGCGGTGGGGGTGTGCTGGGGGTGCCGGTGGTCATGGAGGAAGTCAGTGACAGACTTGAGTTTAGATTTTGACAAGTGGGAGACACTGGAGTTGGTGACCCTGAGTTGTTACTTTTTGATAAAAACTGAACTATAGTAGCACAGATGCTACGGGCACCCTTGGGTACCCACGGTCATTCACAGGAATTATTTACTATCTGTGAGAACTAAGACTGTGATTGCAGAGGGAGCGAGAGGAGAACTCCACTAGGTAAGGGATGCAAATCTTCCCATTGGTTTAGTCCATTTGTGTTTGACCTCTTACTTCTTTCATCTCCGCTTCTGCAGAATTCCGAGGCAGAATCCAGCACAATCTCCATATGCATTCTCTGTCAAAACCCTTGTGAGCGTGTGGGTCAACCAGTGAGACAAAAATCCCCTCCTGGGACAATGGGACGGGCCTGGGGGTGGCCTGGCTGCTGTTCTGCCCACCTTCTCAAGAAGCAGTTAAAGCAAAGCAAACACGGGCGGAAGACTGGCTGTGCCACTTGCCGGCTGAGTGACTTGTTCCTTTGCTTCCTCCCCTGTGAAATGGGGAGAACAGCAGCCTCCTGGAGCCGCTCTGGGGCTTCAATGGGCTGATACCTCTAAAGTGCTTGCAAGGGTACCTGGCACACAATGAAGGAGCTACAATCTTTCCATCAAGTCCTTCTTCACCAGGGTTATGCCTCGGGATCCCTCTAGGAACTTAAAAGCATCCAGGTGCCCCAAACCAACCCCAAGAGAAGCAGATTCAGCAGGAGTGGGGCCCAGGCAGCTGCAGTGTCAGAAGCCTCGTGGATATTCCTGACACAGCCTTGACAGGAAGCCCCTGGAATGGATGAGGGGCCACCACTCAATCTGACCACTGCAGAGCGCTCAGCCCCCCTGTCTCAGAGGCCCCTGTGCAGTCCGCCCAGCCCGCCTGCAGGCCCTGTTCCCAGCCACATTCTGCTTCCTCCAAGTCCTACTGCTCTCTCCTCAAACCCTGGACATGGGAAGCCAATTGTCAGTAATCTTGGAATTACACAAATGAAAAGATAAAATGTCACATGGAGAGTCAGGAGGTCTGAGCAAACCCAGAAGAAGTCTGTTCTCACAGAAGCTTTACATGGTATTAATCACAGGCAATTTAGGTTTATCGTCTTTGGAACAACTCACATAAAACCAGTCATACGTCTTTCGTTTCCAAACCGTCACACACAGATAAAACATTTTGAAAATGTATTTAGGAATGCAGGTTTTCGCCCATCTGCATTTCCCTATGATACAGAGGACAAAAGGGATCCTGAGCCAGCCTTGGCTCTGCAGACTAAGAAGGACACCCACAGCTCCATGTTCTGACTTCAAAGGCACAACAACTTGTTGACCCTCAATCTCCACATCTTGAAAATGGGCAAATACGGGCAGGCATGGTGGCTCATGCTGTAATCCCCCAGTGCTTTGAGAGGCTGAGGTGAATGGATCACTTGAGCCCAGGAATTTGAGACCAGCCTGGTTAACATGGTGAAACCCCATCTCTACCAGAAATACAAGAATCAGCCAGGCATGCTGGTGTGCGCCTGTGGTCCCAGCTACTCGGGAAGCTGAGACGTGAGAATTGCTTGAACCCGGGAGGTGGAGGTTGCAGTGAGCCAAGACTGGCCTCTGCACTCCAGCCTGGGTGACAGAGCAAGAATCTGTCTCAAAAAAATAAAAAAGTTTTAAAAAAAAGGAAAAAAAAAAAAATGGGGAGAATCCCACCTTCCAAAATACGCCTCACAGGGGAGTCATGAGCACTGAGTGACTGATATCTCATATCTTCTCAGCCTTGAGCCTAATAGGCTCTCTGCAACTCGGGGGCCAAGGGCTGTAAATTCCTCTTGCCCTCCCCACCTCACCCCATCTGCTCATAAACTGGAGCTGCAACAGATGCTCCTCCAGGATGGAAAGATTATCCTCATGGGACAGTGGGGGGCTGTTGCTCCAGCAATCACTTCTGTTTCCTTCTACATGTGGCTCTGGCTCTAAGCCTACAGCTGAGCAAGGTGAGGCCAGGCGTGGTGCCCAGGTACAGGCACATGTAAACCCGTGTGGACTCCAGGAGCCCAGCACACGCCCCTGGTATCCACTCCCACCTGCTCTGGCGATGCCTCCGGGTGGAAATTCCCCTGCCTGCCTCCCTCCTCCTGCACACCAGACTTTATTTCCTTTGGGTTGGCCCCAAGTACAAATATTTGGGGAACATCCAATTCTGTCTTTCCGCATTTGGGGAGGCTCCAGTGATGGTGAGAGCCGGGCTCCACAATTCCTCCGTGGCTCACCACCCCTGGGAAGGGCTGGCTATCCCCAGAGCATGCTTGCAGGCCTCCCAGATTCCCATGCTGGGTGTCTCCTCTGACGTGTCCCCTGAAGTGGCAGGAAAACAGGCTGAGTCCCGGGCTGGGGAGAGCACCAACCCCGGCCTGTGTTCCAGGGCTGCCCTCAGGCTCCATCTTCATGCAAACGTATAAATTTAATAAGTGTTTTCTCTTAATTCTACCTTAATAAAAACTCCTAAATACACACCATAAGGCACATGACTCAAATTCTGTTCACATTTTAAACTAGAAAACGAAAATAAAAACAAAAATAGTTAATGCGATTAGTCTCTCTTACAGGAAGGTTCCAAGAATCATGCTGTTTATCTTCAATTTAAAAAACACTTAGAAATATAATTGTGTGAATACTAGTCTGTTTCCGCCATGTGGCTCTCCCTTTAATGATTGGTTTTCAGAATCTCATCTTACTATTTGGTTTTCTTAAATCCATGGATTAGCCTTACCTTAGCTAGTGTGGCATAAGCTAGGCCGAGTATTCCATTCCATTTAATCCCAGGTAAAAAGAAATTCTCTGATTCAAAAATAGTGGCAATATTGACAAGGAAAGAACTATTGAAGCCTTTGGGGATGGTGACTAGGTCCTCCCCAACAAAGCCCGTCCAGCTGCCCTGCGTGTACTTCACAGTGACGTCAAAGCCTTTGGAGCGGTATGTGCTGGACCTGGAGAAAGAAAGGAAAGGCCCATTGTATTATCTCATGTATCCATGTTCCCTCAACCACGAAGATAAGGTTGCCATGTTCGAGGCAGCTGTCCTAACCACAGAAAGTCCAGCGTAAGCCTGTAAGCCATTCTTCATGATTAACAGCATCGATGTTGACAAAGTGATAGTTTCCACCAAAAACATAATCACTAATGTTTTAGTAACTGTTTTCCATGCCAAGTGGAAGGGAAGCACTGTTGTAAACACGTGGCTCTTGAGTGTAATTCTCCCCTATACCCAAGTCAATCCCTGTAAGTCAGGTACTTTGCTTAACCACTGTAGCCTCTGAAGGACACTGCCCAATCTGGACACCTGCCTGGTCCTCCTGGTCCTCAGCTTTGCAGAGCTGCTGGGCTGCTGCTCAGTGACACCAACAGGTGCCAGCACCCCAGAAGGAGTCTCCACCAGCCTGGGCCAGCAGCGGCTGGGGTTCAGGTTCACACATACAACTCCTGTGACAAATAATGACCAAGCCCTACTCGCTGAAGCCCAGGTCCTTGATGTCACAGGTCCTTCTCAAGGTTCTCCCCCAATGCCCCGAAGCTGATTATACTCACACCAAAATATGGGCAGTGACGCCAATGGCATGCCACAACATGAATCACTGTGATATGACCCAGAGCCTGACACTCACGTGGCCCTGAAGGTAAGAGCTACTGACGCAGGATGACATTCACAAGATCGGAGGAAAATTCTGCCCCCTCAGTTTATGCTGCAGTGAGGAGAGAGAATGCATGCGGGAATGGTGGTTGCAGGGAACAAAGCAGATAAGAGGACCGCAAGTGACCTGCGGCTGAGAGAACTCTTGGCTCTGACCATGTCTGCATGAGACCTGAACGCAGGCAGCGAGACATGGGGCTCTCTGGGGGCAGAGCATCGTGGAGAGAGGGCAGCAGGCATCAAGGCCCTGGGGTGTCCCACTCTGCAAGGTCATTCCTACGTCCATTTAGGTTTGAAAACTGCTGGAATATAGAAGGGAACCTAAGAAACATCTCTAGGGAAATGTGTGGGAACTCAAACCACGCTCCTCCTAAGAAAATGATCATGATCCTAAGCTAAACACCAGGCCACCCAGTAGATCATGCTAAGGTGTTCCTGCTTGCCTACAGGTTCATTCCACTCTGTTTTAATAGTAAGTCTGCAAACATTAACACGTTAATGTCTTTGTTGTGGGATCACATGAACTAGTGCGGTCTTGCTTAAGGTCAGTAAAGAAGTTAAGCTCAGAGATGACATGATCATTTATTTATTTATTCATTTATTTATTATTTCTATTAGAGATAAGGTCTTGCTCTGTCATCCAGGCTGGAGTACAGTGGCACAATCATGGCTCACTGTAGCCTTGAACTCCTGGGTTCAGGAGATTCTCTCACCTCTGCCTACTAAGTAGCTGGGACTATAGGTGCACACCATCAAGCCCAGTTAATAGTTTTCTTCTTTTTTCCTTTTCTTTTCTTTTCTTTTTTTTTTTTTTTTTTTTGGAGAGACAGGGTCTCATTATATTGCCCAAGCTAGTCTCCACCTGTTGGGCTAAAGTGATTCTCCTGCTTTAGCCTCCCAAAGTGCTGGAATTACAGGAATAAGCCACCATATCCGGCCTTTTATTCATTAATTCATTCTTGGTATATCTCATAAGCATTAAAAATGTTAACTATCTTTCATTCAGTAACTGCACTTCTGAGAATCTGACCCTAAGGAGATACCCAGGAAGCAGACAGAGGTTCATCTGCCAAGAGAGTTATGATTTTTTTTTAATTGTACTTTAGGTTCTGGGGTACATGTGCAGATCATACTATGTTGAATAGCTTAAAAATCCTGAATTATTCAGTCCATCTGGACAATTTGGGTTCACTCCTTAAGTTCAGAAATATACTGAGGCTAATTATCTTGAAATGCTTAGAAAATAAGGTCTAGTACAGAGGCTGGCAAGTTTTTTCTGTAAAGAAAAAAATTACAGATGTTTTAAGGACTATAGCTAAGCATCATCAAGCCTAGCTAATATTTTTCTTTCTTTCTTTCTGTCTCTTTTTTTTTTTTTTAAACATAGGATCTCTGTTATAACTACTCAGATCTCAACTGTAACGTGGAAGCAGCCACCGACTGTAAATAAACTTGTGTGGCTGTGTTCTGGTAAAACTTTACTGACAGCAACAGGCAGCAGGTCAAATTTGGCTCATGGGCTAGTGTTTGCCAACTCCTGGTGTATTAGTCTGTTTTCACACTGCTGATAAAGGCATACCCAAGACTCGGTAATTTATAAAGAAAATTAAGTTTAATGGGCTCACAGTTCCACGTGGCTGGGGAGGCCTTACAATCATGGTAGAAGGTGAAAGTCATGTCTTACATGGTGGCAGGGAAGACAGAAATGAGAGCCAAGTGAAAGGGGTTTCCTCTTATAAAACCATCAGATCTCATGAAACATTCACTGCCACAAGAACGGCATGGGGAAAACTACCCCCTTGATTCAATTATCTCCTACTGGGTCCCTCCCACAATAGGTGGGAATTATGGGAGCTACAATTCAAGATGAGATTTGGGTGGGGACACAGCCAAACTGTACCACCTGGTCTGGGAGAGTAATTGCTTTGTTGTTGTTGTTGTTGTTGAGACAGAGTCTTGCTCTGTCACTTAGGCTGGAGTGCGATGGTGTAATCTCAGCTTACTGCAACCTCCGGCTCCTGGGTTCAAGTGATTCTCCTGCCTCAGCCTCCCTAATAGCTGGGATTACAGACGTATGCCACCATGCCCAGCTAATTTTTGTATTTTTAGTAGAGACTGGGTTTTACCATGTTGGCCAGGCTGGTCTTGAACTCCTGACCTCACATGATCTGCCTGCTTCAGCCTCCCAAAGTGGTGGGATTACAGGCATGCACCACCCTGCCCGGCTCTGGTAGAGTCATTTATATCTTTCCCCAACAGTCTAAAGTGCTATGACTTTCTTTTGAAAGTTTAGTGTTACTCTGTCCAGGCTGTACAAAACTCCATAGAATTTGTTCTGTTAGCAAGAACCCGAAACAACCTGCATATCTATTTAGCATGTCTTCTCTAGCTTCCTACCCAGGTTGCTGGTTCCTTACAGACGGAGCACTCTGGATATTTTGGTGTCATTTCCAGAGAGACAAGAGGCAGCTGGAGTTATACTGACTGGGTTCAAATATGAGTTCAATCCTTCATTAGCTGTGTGACCCAGGGCCAAGTTATTTACTCTCTGTATGCCTCAGTTTTCTCAACTAAAAAATGATAATATAATGTCATCCCTCGAGAAGTTAGTTATGCAGATTAAAAGCGTTAATACTGTAACGCATGTAGAACAAAACCTTGGAACACAGCAGACATGCACAAAATAGCTGCTATTGTAATTATCTCATCGCTTACTACCTTCTTAAAGCCTATGAGTTATTATTAGAAAATTCAAGTCTGTTAGGCCATGTTTCCATTGCTATAAAGGAATACCCAAGACTGAATAATCCATCAAGAAAAGAGGTATGATTTTGGCTCATGGTTCTGCAGGCTGTGCAAGAAGCATGGTGCTGGCATCTGCTTCTGTTGAGGTCTCAGGAAGCTCCCACTCAAGGTGGGAGGTGAAGGGATACACAGTACATTACATGGAGAGAGCTGGGACAAGAGAGCAAGGAGGAGGTGCCCAGCTCCTTTAAACAACCAGCTCTCATGTGAACTAACAGAGCAAGAAGTCACTCATTGCCTTGGTGAGGGCAACAAGCCATTCATGATCTAAACACCTCCCCCAAGGCCCCATGGTCCACACTGGGAATCACATTTCAACATAAGATTTGGAGAGGACACACATCCAAAGCATATCATCAGGATGTATTCTTTTTTCTGGAAAATTCTCCTATAGAGCTATTTTTACTCAATTGCTCTGCACAATAATTAAATACATGGAGTGAGAACCCTGGATGGGCTTCTCCTTGGCAATGTCCAGTCCAGGCGCTCAGAAACCACAATCAATCAGGGACGTGGGTAGCCAGGAAAAAGCCCATTCACAGTAATAAAAATACTTTGAACCAAATTCAGAAGATGTTCTGCCTCTGATAGAAGTGCTCAGGGAATGGAGGATTAAAAAGTGAAATCAATTGCACTGAGGGGAAAAGAGCCGCAGAACGTTTTATTATTTCAAAAGAATTCTGTTATTTGCAGAGAACATGAAAAGAGAAGGTGGATGTGCAGAATTCTAGAGTTCAATCCTTAGGTCAGGTCTGGTTCTCCTAAGCCACTTGACCCAGGGAATGCTGAGTCTCCTAAAGAACTCTGCTCAGGATTTCCCTGGGGCTCTCAGGGTCTGGAATCAACCAGTGGGGCTTATCGTCCTGGCTCAGGTGACCAGATGTGACCCTGGAAGTCACCAGACTTGAATGCATGAGACCCCTGAGGCTCAGGATAAGCTAAGCCGGCCCAACCTGGTGATTCATCAACGTCCTCAATAATGTTAAATGCTCACAGGCTTCAAAACGGCAAATCTTCTTCTAGCAGGCAAATGATAGGTAGGCTTGAGAAATGATCTCAATAATCAGGCAAAAAAATCTTTCCTCATTGAATGCAAAGCCATTTGACCTGTATCCAGTTTAGCCTCCTTAAAAAAAGCCATCAGGTAATTCTTTAATTCCCTAATTCCACTTACAAGCATTAGTTGAGGAAGATAAATTGGATTTCTTGCTCTGTGAGTTTCACCCCAGATACAGTACAGAAGTGAGGAGATATTTTAATGGAAATATGCTTAATTTTCTGAATAGATTCATGGAGGGTCAAGGGATGGGTGTACTGGATCTCTCATCAGGCCAAATAGCAGGAGGTGAGATTTTATTGGCTAAAAAAGATGTACATTTAAAAAATGCATGATTTTTTCTTTTCTTCCCCCCCCCCCCTTTTTTTTTTTCTTGCTCTATAGTAACTCACTGGAACATTCACCACCATGAAAAGATGGATTCTGATCAAGATGAGCTCACAAATGACTAATGGTAGCCTGACATCTCATTCCATAAATCAAAGAGATCTTGTCAAAGAACCCCACGCCAAATCTCCAATTACTGTAACATGTTTCAGGAAGCATTAGACCTGAATATCCAAAGACTGAGGACGTGAATCAGAGGCGGACAAACCCAACCAGAACCTTATTATAACTAGGAGAGATCAGAAGCACAAGCAAATACAGACACATCACAGGGCAGAGAGCTGCAGCTCAGAAAAGAAACCTTTGTCAAAAACGGAGAAGGCAAAAGGATGGTCTCTTGGTTCCCATGAAATACAATGGTTGAAAGTATAACTTAGGCCAACTCTAAAGTTAGGTAGAAGCATTAGACAAATTAACTAAACATAATTGACATTGAAAGAAAATATTCATATCTTTCCACAAAAAAGCATATCAAAAATACTAAAGCATGTTAACAAGCAGATACAAGGAAACAAGATTAGTGTAAATTTAAGAAAGTATTTAACTTGTAAAGCTAGCATGGTAGCAGGGACGCAGCCAAAGGAATAGAACTTGCCTCAAACTCAGAAGTGGGATGTACCACATCTGATTCAGCCAAAAGGAAACCGTGCAGTTCTGTGGAAGAATAGTCTCTTGAAAAGAAAGGCGGTACCAGGTTAGGCTCCCAAAAGGTGAGTGATGTGTTGTATGTAATAAGTCAGCCACTGCAGTACTTGCAAATAAGGAAGTAGGCCGAATTTGAATGGTGGAAGTGGCAACAGGGTGAAACGAACCATTGAGGGGCTTTCCCTAGACATCGCCGTGTTCTGTTTCTTATCTTTTTATTTACCCACAAAAGGAGAAACAGATCAGGACCTTGAGTGGTCAGAATGGTGGCAAGGAATCCTGAATTATCTTGTGAGATTAGCAGGAGGGAAGGCTTCATCATCAAAGGAGTTCTGGATGATCCCAGGAGTTTTCATGTGAATCAAATGCATATGGACTAGAGAAGCCCAAAGTATGGAAAACAGGAACCATCTCCACTAATACGAACCTGGTGATGGGCACAAAATCCGCTTGAATAAACCAAACAGGGCTAGCAGGTGAGTGAGAGAGATGTGCCCCACGGTGTTCCGAAAAGAGAACCACAGCTCAACCAAACACTGAACACAGCTGAAGGCAGCTGAGAAAAATGCTGGGTTGTTTACAGTTGATGAAATATTGCACATAGTCTTGATAATGCGGGCTATTATTTACCCTTGAATGTTTCCACAACTGCATCTGCATAGCAAAAGGATGTGTGGATTGAGAAGCTTACTTTGACCTTCATGGACTCTGGCTATGGGTGGCTGCAACAGAACTGCCACTCACCTGCCAGGAAAAAAGCGGCCATCCACAGGGCTTGACTGGCATGGTTCACTTTAAACCTGGAAAGTAACGATCCACATCACCCAGCTGGATTTTACTGTGCTTTACTGTTTCTAGTGTATCTTGCATCTACAGATATGAGAGAAAAACCTATTCCAAGGGGAAAAGAACTGCTAACTGAAAAATGCAAGCTCCACGTGTGTTTGTTCTGTCCCCATGCGCTGAGCCCCAGTGCTGGGAAATGTGGAAAAGGTACAATACAGACTAGAGCTCTGCAGGGAAAACAACACAGGGCTGGGACCATCGAGGGCCTTCAAATAAGCGGTTATTTTTCAGTAGCGAAGGCCCTGTCCCCTAGGGGAAGTTTTGGAAACTCTAGGAGTGTGTCTGATACGCGTGCTGGTTATCCCGGAGTGTGAAGGGTGGTCGTGCAAAATGAAGATTTGCTCCCATCCCACATCACTTTCCAAAGTCGCTCTGGGCATCGGCATGGGTAAAATCTACTGGATCAGTAGCACAGAATGCACCTTCCATTCACATGTGCACAAAACCTTTTCTACAAAGGTTTAGTATACATCGTGTATTTGCTGCTGTGAAAGTCCAGGGAAGCTGATTGTTTTTTTGTTTGTTTTTCTTGGAACTTTCCTAAGATTCTTTTCCATTTTGGAAAATCACATCAGCCACTGACATAGTTTGGATATCTGTCCCCACCACTTCTCATGTTGAAATCTGATCCCCAGTATAGGAAGTGGGGCCTGGTGGAAAATGTCCAGGTGGGGGGGTCAGATCTCTCAAGAATGGCTTGGTGCCTTGCCCATGGTGATGACTGAGGTCTCGCTCTGTTAGTCCCAGGGAGGGCTGATGATTGTTAAAAAAGAGCCTGGCACCTCCTTCCCCTACGTTTGCTTCCTCTCTCCCATGTGATCTCTGCACACTGGCTCTGCATCCCCTTCCGCCATGACTGGAAGCAGCCTGAGGTCCTGGCGCCATGCTACAGGCTTAAGGTACAGACTGCAGAACCTTGAGCCAAATGAAACTATTTTCTTTATAAATTACCCAGCCTTGAGTATTCTTTTATAGCTGTACAACAGACTAAGACAGCAAACTGAGCTGCTCGGGGTGTGTGAGTTTACGTCAGCCTGCCTGGATCAGTCTACACTGGGCGTGACGGTGATGTCAACTCACCTCCAGCATGCCCCCACTGCACGGTCTCCTCCTAGCACCGTGGAGCCAGGGTGTTCATGTACTGAAGTACTGATTACCCGGTTATACATTACTTCCCTTCTATTCCCCTCATATTCCGTCAGGGCATTTGGAGCTATGTATGTAGATAAGTCATATGACCTTTGCAGTCACTTCAGGGAACGACAAAGCACTTGTTATAAGAAGCAGGTGTTGGCTGAAGGTTTGGGAGCTGCTGGTCTCAAAGCTTAAACTTGGGCAAGCCCCTGTCTCCCTGACCTCCTGTGCTGGAGGAATAAAAATGAGAGGTTTGGACCAACTCAAAGTCCAGTTCCATCATGAAGCGGTTCAGAGTGGATGGTTGGAGGTGAGGGCTGTTTGGGGACTGAGGACTTGGATGAACCACAGATCTGAGTGGGAAGAGGCTGCATTAGCCGTCGTAAACCAAGCCTCTGCTGCACACACAGAGAAACACCACCACTACTTCTACACATCTTTGTGGTTATAGCAACAGCTGGGCACATAGTGATCATACAGTGACCAGGTGTTGTACCCGGGAATATCAATGAAGAAAGCTTACCAGTACAGGAAGTCATAAACCAAGCTATAGGTTCCTGGAGGGAGGGGCCAGTCGTATTTTTCTGAAGCTTCATATAGCGCTGGCCACCACAGCCCTCTCCACAGTAGGCAGCTGCAGCCATACGTGCAGGAGACCACGTCATTTATGGCACCAAAGCAGAGCCCAGGATGCGACAGAGGCAGAACAGATATGCAGGGTTTCCTCTATGCTTTCTTTCCTACACGGCAAGTCACCTTGCTTTATCAAATTGCCTGGCATTTTCAGAAGACTCCAGCTATTCTTTCCCTCTCCTTTTGTCCCCAACTAAAGCTGGCCTTTATTCCCTGGAACAAAACACTGAGGATAAGGAAAGTGAGAAAGGGAAGTCAGGAAAAGAATTTACATTAGGGAAACCCAATGTGGCAGTTCTGAGCCTGGAGACGGTTTGTGACACCGGCACGTCAGCTGCCCTGTGCTGTCTGCTGAGTTTAGGTTTCAGGATTGCAAAAATATTTGTGATGTCAAAATGTACACGGTGTCAGAGCACCTTCCAGTTCACAGAAGGGCTGACTCTAGACCCCATGGGCTCCTGCAGAGCTGAAGGCTGCCGCAGGCCACCGGGGTCCTCCCACAACCCCAGCCAGGGCTGCTCTGAAGCCTGCATGGGCAGGGCTTGTTCTATTCCAGAGACCTCCACCTGGCTCCACTTGTTTTTTCTGAACTCCACCCCATTGCTCATGTGCAGTCCCAGTCTTGGGCCTTAATACTTTGTACTCACAAAACTCACTCTTCCAAATGAGTGTTGCGAGCCAACCCACAGAAATGGTTTCCATGAACCACAGTTTAAGCCCTACTGAAGTATGCGAAGGTGGGTTTCCATGTGTCCCTTCAGCTGTGGAAGCAGCCCCACGCCCTTGCCCAGAGTGGCCGCACCGATCCCCAAGACCTCCTCCTGCTCCAGGCCACCTCCACTGCGGAACCAAAGCTGCTGCAACAAACACCGACGGGCCACACCTCCCTGCAACGGGATAGCTCTAGAAGTTGTGTCTGACTTGGATTTCTCTAAAATGAATCTCATGTAAGTACATGAAAGCTATTAGGAGACTCCTGCTGTGGATTTGTGGATGGAATGAACATGCATGTATGCACACACACAGTCACATGTGTGTACACACACATGTACATATGCATACATATCGGCATCCCCTTAAAATGAAACAGCTTTCTGGCTGTTGCGGTCTGCCGCGTTTTGAAGCATGCTGATCATGCAGTGCCCCGGCCCAGCACACCAGCCAAGGGGTCAGCACTTACCTCTCCGTGTCAAAGTACGTTTCTATGTAGGAGTGTGGGGCTCCCGCCACGGCAAAGTTGCTGCTTCCAGTGTCAACGAGAATCTGTAGCTTTTATGTTTTAAGGAGAGAAAAAAAAAATTGAAAGTATCAGGTTATTTTAATAAGGCAATGTTCTTGAATAGTTTTTTTAAAACTGAATACCAAGAATAATGCAGCACTTGGAAAAAAAAAAAAGTACACTGATCAGGGGAATACAAAAAGCAATGATAAAATTGAAATCTGAACAAGGTCCATGAAGAAGTTTGCCGGGTGAGGGGGAGGTGCTGGGAATGGTGCTATCTCAGATACACACTGAGCCTTAAAAGAGAATGGATTCTGGTGGCCATACCACTGAATGCGCCTGATCTCGTCTGTTCTCGAGAATGGATACTGTTAAATAGCCGGGTTGCCTTTTCAGGCCATCGGTGCTTGAAACCAAGGCTGAGCTCTTTCTCATCTCTGGGCTTTCAGCCAGGTTAGCCCTTCACTGGGCTCAGCCTTCTCTTGCTTTTCCAAATCTGGCCTGGAAACCCTGATCCAGCGTGGCCTCCCCTCCCCAGGATGCCTCCCAGTCTCCTGGCAGGGGGTGCCCCCTTACCTCCCTGCACAGCACCTGGGAACACCTGCCATCACCATCATTTTTTAGGCTATTCGAGATATAATTTGCGTATAATAAAAATGCAAGACCTTAAACGTTCGCCTGGTGAGTTTTGGCACGGTATGTCCCACACCAAGATACAGAAACCTCTCTTCACCTCAAAAGGTCCCTCTATGCTGCTTTCCCTTCTGGTCCCCAGAAGCAGCCCCTTTCTGGCTTTTGTGACCACGGACTGGTTTCATCAGTTCTCGAACATTCTATAAACATAACGATGTAGGTTTTTGTGAGTTTGTTTTTCTGGCATGGCTTCTGATGTGCAGCTTGTCTTTGAGACGCCCTCATGTAGTGCCCTTTGTTTCTCGTCACTGTGGGAAAGTACTCCTCTGCAGGAACACACCGTGATTTGCCTCTGCTTCTTCTGACGGGCCCTTGGGTTGTGTCCAGTTTAAGGCTACTGTGAATAAGACAGCTATGGACATACTGTATAGGTCTTTTTGCAGGCATATATTTTCATTTCTCTTGAGTTAATACCTAAAAGTGAAACGTTCTGGATCACAGGCTAGATACATTTTTAACTTTTTAAAGAAACCTGCTGAACAGATCTGCAATGTGGATCCACCGAGTTATATTCCCGTGAGCAATGGATCCATGGGCCACTTGGTTTATTTGCTCCATATCTTGCCCCAGATTTGGTGTTGCTGGTCTTTTTAATGTGAACCATGATAACGGGTGTGGAATGGTATCTCACTGTGGTTTTAATCTGCAGTCCCCTAGGGAACCAACGTCACTGGGCTGTTGCCCTGTACCCCATTATTTCACCTTCCCCAGTAAACGCCGTCTCAGGGCAGGTGTGTATGTCACTCATCATTTTATGTCTAGCATTTAGCCCAAGTCCAGACATGTGCCCAGTTGTTTATAGAATAAACATATCTTTTAGAAATAAAAACAGACCACTTAGATACAGCCCAAAAGGTTGAAAATCGAGTTTAAAAACCTATAGTCTAAAGAAATCAAAACAGGCAAGTGTTTGCCTAGGATTATCTTATCAACAGTCATGCTGTTGCTTCTGCCAAGGACCTAAGGTTTGCTGGGTCCAGCGTTTGCCTCTGAGCTGACCCATCAGTAGGATCTGACTCAGTCTTGCTCCCTCCTCCTGGAAACGTTCTTCGCTTTGGATCCTGGGGCCACGTGCATTCCTGATTTCCTCCTTCTCTGACACTTCACTTTAGTCTCACTGCTGGGTGCTTCTCATCTCCCTGACCTGCTGACGTTTCCGGGAGATCAGCTCAGGAATCACTTCTGGGATCCATCTACACTCACACCGTCGGTGTTCCCACTGAGTCTCTAGGCTTTGAGCACCTTCTGCATGCTGACGACCCCCAAGTTTACATCTTAGCCCAGGCCCGCCCATGTATCCCGGGCTCTACCTATCCAACACCTCCCCCTGGCTGGCTAGTAGTCATCTTTTATGGGTTGAGATGTGTTTTCCAAAAACAGATGCTGAAGTCTTAACCCCTGTACCTGTGTGCCCTTATTTGGAAAAAAAGGTTTTTACAGTCAATCAAGTGAATATAAGACCTGCAGGCTGAGCTCTAATCCAGTATCACAGGCATCCTTCGGGGCAGAGGAAAAGGCGTGGAAATCAGAAACACAGTGGGGTGCCAAGTGGCCGCAGAGACAGGAATCAGAGTGATGGAGCCACAAGAATGCCAAGGACTGATGACCATGGCCAGGGGCTGGAAGGGGAAGGGATGGCTCCACCTGGAATCTCAGAGGATACACGGCCCCTTCAACACCTTCGTTTCAGACTTCCTGCCTCTAGAACTGTGAGAGAATACATTCCTGGGTTTTGTTTTGAGACAGTGTCTCACTCTGTCGCCCAGGCTGGAGTGCGCTGGCACAATCACAGCTCACTGCAGCCTCAAACTCCTGGGCTCCAGAGATCCTCCCACCTCAACCAAGCAGCTGGGACCACAGGCTTGCACCACCAAGCCTGGCTAATTTATTTTTATTTTAGTAGAGATGGGTCTCACTGTGGTGCCCAGGCTAGTCTTGAACTCCTGGGCTCAAGCGATCCTCTCTCCTTGGCGACAGAGTGAGACACTGTCTCAAAACAAAACCCAGGAATGTATTCTTTCACAGTTCTAGAGGCAGGAAGTCTGAAACGAAGGTGTTGAAGGGGCCGTGCATCCTCTGAGATTCCAGGTGGAGCCATCCCTTCCCCTTCCAGCCCCTGGCCATGGTCATCAGTCCTTGGCATTCTTGTGGCTCCATCACTCTGATTCCTGTCTCTGCGGCCACTTGGCACCCCACTGTGTTTCTGATTTCCACGCCTTTTCCTCTGCCCCGAAGGATGCCTGTGATACTGGATTAGAGCTCAGCCTGCAGGTCTTATATTCACTTGATTGACTGTAAAAACCTCTACTAAAACTACAAAAAATTAGCTGGGCATGGTGGCACGTGCCTGTAATCCCAGCTACTCAGGAGGCTGAGGCAGGAGAATTGCCTGAACCGAGGAGACGGAGGTTGCGGTGAGCCGAGATCGCGCCATTGCACTCCAGCCTGGGTAACAAGAGCGAAACTCCGTCTCAAAAAAAAAAAAAAAAAAGAAACTTCCAAACTGTCTTCCAAAGCAGCAATACTGGCCAGGCACGATTGCTCACGCCTGTAAACCCAGCACTTTGGAAGGCCAAAGTGGGCAGATAACCTGAGGTCAGGAGCTTAAGACCAGCCTGATCAACATGGTAAAACCCCATCTCTACTGAAAATACAAAATTAGCTGGACCTGGGGCATGAGGCTGTAGTCCTAGCTACTTGGAAGGCTGAGGCACAAGAATCGCTTGAACCCAGGAGGCGGAGGTTGCAATGAGCTGAGATTGCATCACTGCTCTCCAGCCAGAGCAAGACTCCATCTCAAAAAGAAAAACAAACAAACAAGCAATGTAGCTATACCATTTTGCATTCCCACCATCAATGAATGGGAGTTCTGTTGCTCCACATCTTCCCCAGCATTTGGCGTTGTCTATTCTGGATTTTGGCCACTCTAATAGGCGTGCAGTGGTGTCTCGGTCAGCCACTGCACCCAGCCCATTCCTGCTGTTTTAAGCCCTCCGTTTGTGGTACTCGGTTACAGCAGGTCCAGGAAACGTCTTGAGGTGGGACATCATCTCAGTCCTGGAATGTCCTGAACTGAACTCCGGCTGCACCCAGCCCTGCTCTTCCGATGGACTTGGCCATCCCAGTCCATGGCAGCTCCATCAGGTCAGGCCAGGCCACGCCGGAGGTGATCCTTAAGGCTTCATTCCCCTCATGCCCCACACCCAGCCACCAGGAGTCCCAGGGCCTCTGCCTTCAGGTTCTGGTCCACACCTACCCACACCTCACCTCCTCCATGGAGACTGGCGGGGGAGTTCCACACCACTGTCTTCCCTCCTTGTCCTCACTCGTGTCCCTGCTTCCTTCCTCCAACTACTTCCAGCCAGCAGCCACCACAGTCCTGTGACAGTTAAGTCAGAGGGAGTCAACCCTCCACCTCCCACAGCTCTCATGTCACCCAGAGTAACAGACAAAGTCCTCAAAATGCCTGCTGAGTCATTTGCCATGCCCTGAACTTGCTCCTCTCAGCCACGCCGACTGCCAGGACACTCCGTGAATACCCTAGATATGCCCTGGAGGCAGGGCCTCCCCCCTGGACACCTTGCTGGGGTGGGGGCTCCTCCCCAGGATACCCAGATCCACGTGGCATGATTCTTCGTTCCTTCAAGGCTTCGTTCAACGCCACCTTCTCCACGAAGCTGACCACGGCCAGCCCTGTGGGAGAACTGCCGCTCTGCTGGCCTGTGCATCCCCTTCCCTTGCCCCCATAACACCACACCTCTCAGCACCGCGGTGGGCTGGACACTGCTGTAAGCACTTCCCATATCCATTAGCTTATTTTAACCTCACAACAGCACCCCAAGGGCTGCACAGTCACCACTCCATGTCACAGAGGGAGAAACTGAGGTGCAGAGGGGCTGACCTGCCCAACTACACAAGGGTAAGTGGCAGAGCTGAGGCTGGAACCCAAAGCCAGGCTCGAGCGCATTCTTGTCACCAGCCCAGCCAGTCTGGGCCCGGTGCAGGATCATACTATCCTCGGGGTCCCGACAGCTCCTGCTGCCTCCACCCCACCAGATGAAGGCTCCCTCCAGGAGGGATTTTTGCTGTTTGCTGCTCTGTCCACCACACATACCTAGAACAGGGCCAGGCACACAGTAGGCACTCACACATGTGTTGCAATAAACAACAAAACTAAATCAAAGACACTCATTTTGCTCTTGGTACAAAGATAACAGATTCCAAAAAAAAAAAAAAAAAAACCAGCGGGAATAATGCAGTCTGTGCATATAAACCTGGCATGTGTAGGCTCTACACACACAGTTTTCAAGCTGTTGGCAAAAACAAAGTCAGGTTCTCACTCCCCTAATCTACT